GTTCATTTAAAGAATCTCCTAGGGGTGAATATTTAAGTTGTTTATTTATTTATGTTCTATTTTTAAGTGTAGCCTTCTATAAAACTTTTAGTATTTTTGCAAGTGTAGCGTTGAAGACTGTCTCTTCAGTAAGGTTGTTAGGTGAAAGAATATGGGCATATGTAATTTTGTTTGACATGGCCAAATTTCTTTCCACAAGGTTTATATCATTTGTCATCCTCACAGCAGTATATGAGAAGGCCTGTCTCCGCACGGCCTTCCCAGCAGAGTATTTTGTCCAATATTTGGATTTTGCTAATCTGATATACAAGAAATAGTATCTCAAATAATTATAATTTGTATTTCTTTTGACATGAATAATGGTTTAATATTTTTTCCTTTTTCTTTGGATTAGTATAGCTTCATGAAAATATTTCTAGATACCGTTTTCATTTTATTCATCTTGTTTGAGTTTCACTAGGATTTCTGAATTTGAGTGTTAGTCTTTCAGCAGTTCTGGAATATTCTTGGCCCCTTTATATTTGAATTTTCCCTTTCCATTATTTCTAAAATGTTTTCCTCTTGGAATGAATAATGTATATATATATATTTGTGTGTGTGTGTGTGTGTGTGTGTGTGTGTGTGTGTGTTTATTCTACCCATATTGCTTGAGCTCTCTTTATACTTTTTTCTTTTGTTCATTTTCGTTTTTTTGCTAGAGGGTGTATGTGCTCACCAGAGAGAAACACTGAGAAAGGAAAAGTGAGAAATCACTTCCCAGGGGGCATAGCCACCTCAATTCCTTCTCCTCTACGCTTCTCTCAGGATTTTGGGCACACGCCTACCCACACACACACACTGAATACTTTTCAAGCTGCTGGGTCTGGGACTCAAACCACAGATTCAGCTATGCGGGATACAGCACCTTAGCCACCATACCTCCTACCGGCCCTCCTCTTTTATATTTTTAACACTTTGACTCTGTGCTATATTCTATTGTTTCTTCCTCTTCTAATACCTTTATTTTCTGAGTTTTATGTGTTATGCAATTCATTTGATTTCAAATTTCAATAATTATATTTTTTCTTTCTTTCTGTCTCTCTTTTTTTTTTTTTCCCCAGAGATTTTTGCTATAAGGTACATTCATTTGCTCACTAGAGAGACAGCGTGAGATGGAGAGATACCTGGTATGAGTTTCAAGCTGCTGGGTCTGGGACTCAAACTGTGGTCAGCCATGTGGGAGTCCAGCACCTTAACCACTATGCCTCCTGCTTGCCCCATAGTTTGTAATTTCTATTTATGTTCTATTTCTTTGTTTGTAATATCTTCTGGGTCAAGTTTGATTGTCTCCCTTAACTATATGTCAATACTCTCTCATTTTTAAAAATGACTTGATGTATTCATACTCTGTCTCTGATAATTCAAGTATTTACTGCCTCGTGGATCAGATTTCTGCTGATCCTTAATTATGGTGATGTGTCTCCTCATTTATTTATGTTTTTTGGTTGTGAGATGATGGCCCTTGGGATTTTTTCTATAAAATTTTTTGAAAACTAAATTTAAAGAGTATTGCAGTAGGAATAATTTATGGTTGCTCTGACAGGTACCTGGGGACCACCTTAAAATAAAATTTTGATTTGAATTTTTCAGAGCACAAAGGCAATGTAAATTCTAGCCCTGAACGTAGGCTTAAAGTTAGGTATTCTTAGGAGATGTGTTCTTTTTCACCCCCTCTATCCTGAACGGAGGGTGAAATCAACCTGTTTCTACACACTGTTTTTTCCCTAGTTCATCCACTCCCACTGTTCAGGGGCTGCCAGATTTAAACAGTTTCTGATCTAGACCTGACACCCTATTTGGACCCACCTTTATCTTTTGTTCCCTATGCTAATATGACTTTTAAAAACCCTGGCTCTGGACCTAAAGGAATTGGCAAATTCTTGAGGCATTCTTAGGACTAGTTTATTCCTGGGGGATTATTCTTACTCATCAGTCCTGGCTTCCAATTGTCTGCTCTACTTTATTACCAGCTTAACTTTGCTTTCAAAGAGTCATTTTTAAAATTTATTTGTGTATCTTGTTATTGAAGAATAACATACATACAAAATAGTGTACAGGTCGTAAGCGCACAGCATGATGCATTTTTATAAATTCAATACCTCCTTGTCAGCTTCAGACAGAGAGAGACCATTAACAGTTCTCCAGAGCTCCTCTCGTGACTCCCTCCAGTCGTCATGTGATCTGACAGAGCAATGAGCATGAACGACTGCAACCATCCACTCTCACACTGGTCTCACAGGCATGATGCTGGGTGGAAGCACCACGTGTGAGCATGTATGCTGAGTCCTTTCATGGATACAAAGCCCACAGAGTTACAAGCCAAAAAAAGATACATCTTTTCCTTTGATCACTAATTTTTGATGAACTGAATTCAGCAAAATCTCTACATTTATGGTTAGCTATTTGCTGGCAGTAAACTCCCCGTAGTATGTTTTGAAATACTCAAGTTTTAATTTTTTGATAGTAAAATCTATTGAATTTTCTCCTTATATTAGTTACCCCATTTTCTTGCAAACCAGATCATATTACCAAGCCATAGACAATCAAAGGGACTCTATATTGTACTTGGAGTCCATCTCAATGTATTAAACCTTAAGAAAATCAGTCTTGGGACCAAAAGTTGATGTAATGGCTATGTTGCTGGACTCCCATGTAGTTGACCGCAGTTCAAGTCCTGGACCCGGTGCTTAAACTTATGCCTGGTGTGTGTGCGTGTGTGCCCAAGATCCCGAGAGGAGAATGGAGAAGAAGGGATTGCTGTGTGGCCATCCCCCAGGGGGTGATTTCTTGCTTTCTGTCTCTGTCTTTCTGGCAAGCACACATGCCCTATAACAAAAAACTCTCAAAAAAAAAAAAAAAGGAAAATCAGTCTTTAACTTCTTTCACTTCCCTCACAAGGAGTCTTACATCACCTAACCTTCTATATCCTTCAAAATAGATTGAACCTAATACTTAACTAATGAAAATTAACAATAACCTTGCTGAGTCTGTGTAACTATCAGACGATGGAGACAGAGGAGAAACACTCCACTAGCTCCCTCTCACGAACAGCTGAAATGTTATCAGCTTAAACATCACAAGCCAGACCTACACCTTCTCTGCTTCTAAGCCAGGATCCAGGTGTGTTGTCCGACTGGCTCCGTTTGCTTCTGCTGCCTTGTTAATCATTGCTTACCCTTATGCTCCTTGTAGAGAACTGAAACTGGCCATTCTGCCCTGCATGTCCGGATTGGAGACTGACTCCCAAACAGAGATTGCCCCCCACCCGTATGATGCTGCTGGGTCTTCTGGTGATCTTGCCTGAAGACAATGACCAGGCTCCTCATGGTTCTGCCTCAAGACAATGCATAGCTTATCTTTTGCTTCTAGATGTATATTCACACTTACCCCTCCCCCTGTATAAGTTTTTTTTTTTTTTTGAGAGGTATTTGCTATAGAGCACATGCGCTCGCTAGAAAGACAGAGAGAGAGACAGAGAGACAGAAAGTGAGAAATCACCCCCCAGGAGGGATGGCCGTGCTGCAGTCCCTTCTCCTCAATTCTCATCCTGGGGTTTGGGGCACACACACATGCTTCAGGCATGATTGGCCAGCGTCAGGTCCAGAGCTGGAACAATGGTAGGCCATGTGGGAGGCCAGCCTCTTA